ACAACTACATACTCCCGACGTTTTTGTTACTTAATAATAATTAAAAAAGCGTGATGATACAATTTAATAAAGTAATGAATAAATTATGGTTTAATTTTTAAAATCCATATGAATATTAGTAATTTTTTATAGAAAATATTTATTTTAGTTAAAAATACTAATTTCTTTAATTAATGTATTCTCTTTTCTTGTATCAATCAATATATCATTACTACATATTACAAAAACAAAATCTTGAGAAGCTTTTAATTTATGTATTTTTTAAATAGAATTAAGAGGAATGCTAAAAAAATTACAAGAACTAGTTTTATTTCAATATCTTCTACAAACGTCGACAGGTAATAAATTCGTAATTCTCATGATATTTTAACATGTGATAAAGATATAAGAACGTTTTGATAAAATTAAAATGGAATTCCCCTTTAAAGTGATTTTATTTATTTATAATATACCTAAATTTTCTCCCGTTTTTCGGACGTCAGCTTGCTTGGTTACATGTGTTGTATAACGTTTGTAAAGAAATACCTTAATAATAGACATTAAAAATTAAATCAATTTCTGTTTGTTTTTATTATGGAAGGGATGAAAATACGTGTTTGAGTTCGAGGGGTTTTGAGAAATAGACGACCTTTACATATCACCTAAAACGTAACGTAACGTAAAATACAACAGTAATGAATGGGTGATATACATCTATTATAAGGATTTCGTAACAGTTTGAGATCGAGATTTGGTTAATACATTAAGATTGACTGATTAATTATAGTTGTAAATATTAATTAGCTTTTATTTGATAACTAAATAATCATGTGTTAAAATTATTTCTTTATATTTTTGGATTTATTTGAATGTTATACTAGTTCAAATAGTTTGATAATATTTGAGTGAAGCGATATTTGATTGAGTCGAGTTTTTTCTAAGATTGTTTATGTATAAAAAATAAGTAAATTGGACCACCAATTTCAATTTAAGGGCCGAAAAACGGATCCCATGTCCAAAAAGAGGTTTCTCTACCAAGAGGCTACGTCGCTTCAACCAACTGGAAACGAGTGATTTTTATTCGAGAGACTCGTGAAAAAGTTACAAAGGTAAATCTCCTAGTATATTTTTTATTAAACTGCATAGTACTGGGTTAAACGGTAAGCATAATTAAGTTAGTAAGACTATTCTATACAGTAAACCTAAACTTTGCTAGAAAGAACCTCTTCACACCCTTTTCATGAAAACCTCCAAGTAAAGTCAATAAAACGTAATTCTTACTAAATTAAAATAAATATTATAAATTCAGGTTTGTTTTATTTATAGACATGTTAATTTTCTATGTATTTTTAACGGCTTACTCGTCACTTATTTGTGTTGCGTCATTTTAAGATAAAAAAACATATGACCGTTACCGAAAATTTTGCGATCACTTGCTCGTAGTGTGCAATCTTGATAAAAATATATCGTATGGAAATAATAAAATTATTTATTGAAAGAAAAAAAAGGGAAATATCAGAATAAAAATTAAATTTGAATGTTTAAAATTTGATTATGTTTTATTTTAAGTACTTTAACGGGGATAAAATATGTTTTTTGCTATAGTATGGTAACCATTGAGTTTTCTGAATATTTTTGAAGATAAAAATACGTAAGACATGTATATGAAAAGCGTGGGGTGCTTGACATATGAAAAGGTTACACAATCATTCTATTGGCAACTATCTACGAGGGGAGGGTTATGGAAATATAGTAAAATTTACACTAGCTCTGTCCCTTTCACTCTCATAGAGGTTCTATGAAAAGATTATATTAATTGCATTGTCGTTGGTCCTTGAGATATATGCAAAGTTTCAAGTTAATCACATGTTTAGAAACCGGTGAAAATCGTGCTCAAAGATTCCGTTACATACACACATACATACAGCACAAGCTAATATAAGCTTGTTAAAAAGCGTTTCCCGTTTCACAACTATAAGTAAAATTAATACTATAAATGACTAGTATTTACAAATGTCAAGTTATTAACGTTTTTCATATTATTACAACGAAATCTTGTGATAAGTTTACTACATTTGTTAGTAAATAAATCTCTGAGCAAACAAGTAGTTTCTGTGTCACTTTGGATGCGCTGCAATTAGTCATAATTATACAATATCCTTAATTTTTGAAATGTAATGTGCATTTCGTGAATCCAGGGCAGTTTGAGAGCAACTAAGAAAGTTGGCAGTAGATGAGAAATGAAAAGACTGACTTATCTCGTTGGCCCGTGATTAGGCTAGTTGCAAAGTAATTTAAGCAGCGGGAAAGTGGATAAGTGAAAAAAGATCACGTATTTACGGATATCATGTTTACATTTTTAATTTGTACACTACATCTTAGATATCTTAGGTATACTATTATATCAATGTAAATTAAATTAATAGAAAAACATTCAGAAGTATTCAATATTCTTTTTATGGTCAAATCGTGTTACAAACCTTTTATATATTTTATAAATTTTCTTTTGATACATTACATTTAGGTGGTAGAACCTAGCTGTGGTGAGTTACTACAGCTCGAACATGGGCTGGCTCGACCGGGGAAGTACCAGCCTCTCACAGAAGATCGGCGTGAAGTAGTCTTTAATGGCTGCGTTTCGTCCGATGAGTGAGAGAGCCGGTTGCGCTTTCCCTATTCCCAACGTTTCCTACATTTCCTTATTCCCACCTCTCCCTATGCCTAAAAATAAGGTTGGCAACGCATCCGCAACAAAAATGTTCATGATGTCCATGGGCGACGGAAACTACCTTCCATCAAGTAGGTCGTCTGCTCGTTTACCACCTTTAACATAAAAAATCAATGTCTTTACTTAAGACGAGAATGCAATAAAGGTCTTTTTTAATATTTGCTTAATACTCAAGAAGACGCCAATAACTAAAAGAGAGAGAAAGAACTAATATTTGATTTATAAGTTATCGAATTATACTTAATTTTCTATAAATTCATTATTTTTATGCAAGATCACTTCATTAATAACTGTGAGGAAAATGAAATTTGTTTCTTGGTACTCGTAAAATAAAGGAAATGTGTTTATAAGTTATGATTGATATTAAATTATCTCGCTGAATGTATTTATAGAAATTTTTATATATGTAATCCTATTATCTCGAATTATTAGAAAGAGAAAAAAAAAATATCAATTCCATACAACACAATCTGAAAACAACATCCAAATTAAATGAAAACCATTTTTTAGAATACTATAAATTGATTATATTATTCCATTTTAACATCCTACGGTCTACACATTAATTTTCATTTATATAATCCCATGTTTGAAGCCTTATATCATTTTGGAAAAAAGATGATACTCCTCCAGTTCTGGACTAATATTAACCAGACATATCTAGGAACCACTTCATAGGAATTGACTATTATATTATTAAAACCGCATCGAAATCGGTTGGTTTATTTTACAGCTGCGGTGTCTCATACTGACAAACATACACAGAGCTTAAAAATTCCACCTCATGAGTCAGTTTTTAAAATACACTAAGTTATGTACACGTAGATTATAATCCCTACTAATATTATAAATGCGAAAGTAACTCTGTCTGTCTGTCTGTCTGTCTGTTACGCTTTCACGCCAAACCACTGAACTGATTTTAATTCAATTTGGTACAGAGATAGAGTTGACTTTGGAAAGAACATAAGATAGTTTTTACCCCAGACTTTTGAAAGGTTCTCGTGGAAACGCGATATAACCGAACTCCACGAGGGCGAAGCTGCGGGCGGAGAGCTAGTAAATAAAATATATGAATTTTTTTTATTATTGTGTCTACCTATTTACGTGTTTCTGTATAATTGAGATGAAGATAATTTTATTTGATGAAATTCCATCAATTGCTAATAAAGTTAGAAAATATATATATGTATATGCATATTGGATTTCGTATTTTCCCGACACAGTATCACAAGAGTGCCAATTAATATAAAACACCTCCATTAAAAATACTTCTTAAACTAAGAATAAAAGATATGAATGAGAAGTTGCTTATAAATTTTAACTTATAATAACTATATAAAATTTTATAATCTTTGTAAAATATTTGAAAAAAAAAATTATTACCTACCCTCAACTAAAAAGAAAAATTTTCCTGACTGAGTGTAGTTGTAAATATAATAATAAGATATAATAAGATTTTCTCGAGTATTCATTGAAATGAAACTAATAATTTTAGGATTACTATGCATATTTTATTATTTTAAAAACTAAATATGTAGTACTAGGCCCGTGATAACGTTCGCTGAAAAGTAACCGAAACGTCGGGAGTATGTAGTTAAAATAATAAAATAGTTTTAAATATCTTTATATATTACTAATTTATGAGTCAACATCACAGTTCTATATTGTTTTTAATTTAGTTGTTATTCAGGTGTTTAATTACTTTTAATAATTATGTTGGGAAAAATTAACAATATATTTATCTATGTGTTTATAAACATATTAATAGTTCATCAATAAAAGTAAACTGGTTTAAGATCGGTGATCCCAGACGTTTAATTATAGTTTTAAGTTCAATAACCGAAAATTTATATCAACAATATTTTCGATATTCATAAGGAAAAAAAGAATTATTTATAAATATAGGATATAAAATTTACAAACACGTAATTCCCTTAAATAAAGGTATTATCAACTATTACTTTATAAAAATAAATTCAAAAGTAATTTCTTTTCTGTTATTATTCACATGATCTTTATTTTTAATAATTTTCTTTTATAAAAAATTTAAAGATAATTTAAATTATAAAAATTCGAAATAAGCTTCAAACGAAGTAAAAGTTCCGTCATCTAAAGTCATGCTGTATATTAATTATTAACGAAATGATGAAATGATGTTTGTGATTGGTTGTTAAGATCATCACTGGGACATCCCTTCATTATATAGAGAGGAAAACTCGACCAGAGACCAGTCAACCCACGACCGTGGACGCGTGCGCTTGTGTACACTAGATAAAAAAAATAAAACACAAAAATGAATTGTGCCATCGTGTTATTGCTCGTTATAAATTTGTACAGTTTGGGGGAGATGGCGTGCGCTAATTGTGCGAATGGTGATCTTAGTGTGACCGAGCTCACGGATGTAAGGATACAGTTTGTTAAGCACCAGATACTGAGGAAGTTGAGGTTGAGTAGGAAGCCGAATGTGAGTGTGCCAGTCAACAGCCTGCCAATGCCAGTCGCTCAGGGACAGACCAGCCAAGGCACTGACAAGCCATCGGAGTTCAATGATTACTATGGAAGAACTGAACAGAAAATCATTTTCCCAGTGGAAGGTAATAAAAATTAATTAAATATTGTATCTTTGGTTTAAATTAAATAGGATTGAATACTCAATTTAAACGATGAAAATCATCATGAATTCTGCCAGTTGAAAAAGAAAAAAGTTTTTCAAAAAAATATTTGTTATTAAAAAAAGATCTTTAATAATATAATAACATTTTAAATTTCGTGGTTTTTATAAAATACTTATTAAAAAAATAGAGTCATTTTTTAACCAAAATAACTATATTGATAGAAAAGACATTTATTAATAACAGAGCAATAAATTTGAAAATAAGCGAAGTAAAACTAATACTTAAAATTATAAAAATAGTATAATAATTATAGTAATATTTCCATAATAACAAAGATACCTTGTCCGGAGTAAATTACCCTTTGTAGTATACCAGACTCATATGAGGCGTCTGTCATTAAGAATTAAAAAAAATATACATAATAACTATTTATTATTTGTACCAAAGAAATTTAAATTGCACGAAATTGCATATAACTAACATGGTTTATTAAAACATGTTTTGAAATACATTTTAAGTTACTTTAAGTAAATTATCAACTGGGTTTTATTTTCTTTATTTATAGCTCTGTATAATTATTTGATGCGGATAGTTTTAAGATAAAAGGATAAATAAAATTAGATTTATTTATTAGGTAACTAAAAGAAGAAATAATTTAACATGCATTTAATAAATCTTCCACTACACTAATTTAATAAAGTAGAATAATTCATAAAATTATCATCACTACAAATACTGATACGTTAAAAAATGTTTAAATTTTTTACGAAAAACACCTTACACAACAACGTTTAACGTTCTGTAGTTTACGTGTAGGAATTCACGCCGGACATCAATTACAAAATTTATTTTTGCAAAACATTTACCTCTTTTCTAACGTCGGTTAAAGTATATAAACGTCTTTTAATCTATTTCTATGAAGTCATAGTACAAACGTGGCATGAGGTTCACGGTTTCTTCCGCGTTGTGTTCTGATAAAATTATCTAACATCTATGTCTCTTGTTATTGTTTGTTTCGCAAACTGTGTGAATATAATATACATAATTTTGTGTAATTTGGGGGCCGTAATGAAATATATGTATAATAATAATCCTAATATATAGTATGAGAAGGAATTTTGAATTTCCATCCTGCGGTCATATGTTTTTTCGATTTGATTACAATCTTAGTTTTACGATATGCTTACAGTGGCAAAGAGTTTCTAAATTTTAGTTTTCTACTCATTAATTACTTGCTTCAACTTCACTTGATATTCAATGTTAAAACAATTAAAAATCAAAACCAATATTATATTACTGATTGCTTGATTTGAATATATTAAATATTTTTTGCAGAAAAAGTCCAAAAAAAATTAAGGATTTTTCTACTGTAAATTATGAAAATATGAATATATTCTAATATTTATGGGAAGTACATTAACAGATGATGCAACATGTCATAATAAACGCATTTAACCTATTCACCTGGATACTGTGAACTTTGAACCTTAAAATTGTCTACCTGACTATTATCGATTAAATATTTTTAGGCATCAACTTATTCTAAACAATATAACATAAATACCATAAATATAACATAAAATAAGTCTAGAATATTACTTTTTTATTGTGATATTTGAACTTGATAATATGCTTTTATTTAAACCGTTAATAAAAGTAACTGTTTCAAGTAATATTAATAATTAACCAATACATCTATTACACTCATGGGTGACTGATAATTGGTATCGTGTCATCTAATATTAAATATTTAATACATCTATAAAAGGTCAAGATAATTAAAGTTATTTACAAGAAAATGAACGTTTTAGAAATAGGAATTTTGATTTTTTTTATAATACCATAACTATTTTGCATCAACTTAATGTTTTTTCATTATATTGAAGTCAGAACGAAACAAAAACTGAATCCACGGTCCAAAGTCCCTGCGTTCGTTGACAGTTAAATAATGAGTATGCTTGTGTCAGCAAAATTTTAATATGTATAAAACTATTTAATAGCATTGTCTTGATAATAGTCTAGACTGAGAGTGTCACGAGGCCACTAGTGAGACTCAATCATCCATATATAAACAGTCAAGAATGAGTATAATCTGACACATGTTAACATACACTATACGCAATAAAAATTGTCTTAGTATAATCGTTTTATGAAATATATTATAACAGGGATCTAAATTTATTAGATATTAGAAAATGCCTCATTAATTGAAAGATAATAATAACATTAAAAAAGCGTCTAAATTGATAACCGAAAATAAACAAAGACTCACAACCAAAGTATATATGTATATAAAATTAAGTAGGTTATTTATAAAACTATGTAAAACATTATAATTTTTCATATTTATAATACGTAATAGAGTAATCTAATATTATTTTGGAAATATATTAATAAATATTTATTAAATAAATAAAGTGCGGGAACGAGAGGTTGAGACAGGTGATTACGATCAAAAATATTTTATGTTGTTAAAGTAATCATAAATGATATTTAATTATAAAAATGATAAAACAGCACGTGTCGTCTCGATGGTCCGTTGATTATTTTATATAGTTTTGAGAATTAATTTATTGATAACCCTTGACCTAAATTATTTTAGTGCCATAGTTAGTTCGCGATAGTTATGCCAAAGACCGTGCAAAGTGGAAGAGTTTAAGCGGCAGACCCTGGCTAGAGTTGGGAAATTGCCAGGAAGAAGAAGTTATTTCGTGATCTCTAACATAGAAAAGAGCGAATATATGACATGTAGCCATATTTAACTTAAAGATAATCCACTGTTGAATGTCTATTTATGGAATACGATAAAAACGAGTGTACTTTTTGTTATTTATAAAAATAAGAATATTGTTTTAAATAGCATTGATCTTAAAATAATAGTGGATTAAACTATTTGGTCTAAATCTACTTGGTTCAAATAGTGTAAGGAGATCGATTTTGTTGTACAATTAATGTAGTTTCCTATAATATTAATGATTTTTTTTTAAATATTATAACGAAGTTTTAAGTTTATTTCAATAGAAACTAAGTTACTTATTATGTATCAGTCAAGAGTTAATTAAATTGTTATCTTATAAACATCGATAGAGACAACAGATAAAGTTACTACGATTTGCAGTAAGTCGAAGTTCTACTTTTAGCTTGCATTTACATAAATTGAACTGGTAAAATAAGGCAGCAAGGTTGTCGTCCTTACGACTTGCCATACGAAAAAGAAGATACATTCTTATACCTAATGAAATTTATTTTGATATGAGACCAAAAATTACTATACGTCTGGTTTGAAGCAATAGTTATGATGACCTATTGATTCTATGCCACTGAAAGCGGCATATTTTCATCCAGGTATGTTATCATTTTAATGAGAGAAATTTTAAAATAGAATTATATGTACAGAAGTTTAATCTCTGTAATGTCACGCGGCAGCGGTGTGACTGTGCGTTGATAGTAGACTATTAACGCAGACCCCTACTATTTGTATTTATATTAAAAAAATATCGAAAACTAAAAATGAGATCGTCTAATACTGTAATTATTGAAACGAGTTAGATCTAATTTGTGACTTTCTTTCGAGTTATAAATATAAATCTGAATACTTATATATATTTCTATTAAAAGAATTTTCTTTATCTATCTGCTATGTTTATAATGGAATAATTGTTTATATGATAACATATGTAAATATAACGTTAAAAATTTACTGCGTATTTTTATGTAATCAACCATTATCTTTCAAAACCGGACGGCACCTGAAACAACTCAATGAGTTTACATAGAGATTTGGTATAACAACAATGAATTGTATTCATAATAGGTCTTATTAAGTTCAATATAGCTCATATATCACGCTCCAATACCGTGATCGTATAATGAAAGCTTAACTAGGAATAAATAAGGAAGCGATATTGATGAGCGATGTAATAAATGTGTTTGTAAACGTTTAATCTATATAGTATGCCTAACAAAAGTTTCAATAGTCACACAATATGAGTACGTAATTCTCGTTTTTCATACAAAACTTCTATTAATTTATGTGAAGATTTATTAAGAAAAAATTTACGATCTTTTTAATGTGATTTAGCAAACTTAAATGTTTTTTCATAGTACAGTATTATATAAATCTTGTAATATATACAAATAATTTAATCCTATCTGAGCAAATTGTCTCCATTTCTCATATTTGAACTTTGATTTTATTATTATTGTTTCTAAATAAGGTTATTTCCAAATAACTGGTCCGTAATGTCGATCTATCCGACCTCCTCTATGTGGAGCAAGGAATGACCTCAGGTCGTCTGATAATTCACTAAGTGTGAATATGTACCTATTGTGATATAAAACATTAAAATTACAATAACGCTAAAGCTTAAGAAACTTTATACTAATTTACTTATAAATTTGGTAATTCTCTATGGCTGTCTCAATATTTATTATTTACTTATTGCAATAAATAAAATGAAATATATGAAAAAGTGACAGAAACTAAGACGAAATTTTTTTGTAAAACAAATTTATTCCACTTCTAGAATTACCATAATAATAATCTCCAAGACTCATTTGAACGATAGTAAATATACTTAAACTATGCCATGAATTTTCCTTATTATTTAAATTAATTAAAACTTGATTATTGTTCCAGGTGAATGTCTCACTTCTGGACGCTATCCCTTCATATGCCTGCAGTTCGAACTGCCTCCAGATGTCGAGCCTGAAGAGGTCACTGTAGTAGAGCTCTGGTTCTATAAGGTACGTAGATAAACTAAAGTTTCATATTAAGACATATCCTTTCTACTTCCACCTGGTATTTTCCCGGCTATAGCCAGGGTCTGCCTTGCATGTTGTGAATAGTTTTGGCTAATTGTTTTTACTACCGGCCGCCTGACTGACATCAACCTTCTTTTGGGAATCAGTATTAATCAGTTATGTCTAAATATTCTTAGAAAGTACATATGACTCGGAAAAATCTAAAAGGTTTTATTGATAGCTTTCTGGATGATAGCATAACTTGTTTTTTATCCACAGGAGCGTGACCCTCTAGATGAATATAACCAGACTTTCGTGATCTCCGAGGCTGCACATTGGGACAGTCAACAGAAGTTCAAGAAGACGAAACCTATAGCCATCAAGGAGACGGATATTTTGGAAGGTTGGGTCAGAGTGGAACTGGCTTGGGCGGTCAGGGTTTGGTTGGAAGGCAGAGAGAGATTGCACACTCTGCACGTAGCCTGTAGGACGTGTCAGGTAAGAGAAATTATTATAAATATAATAAAATATAGCAATGATTCTAGGACAAATTTCTGCTTAAGATACAATCAAACTAATTTGTAAAATAAAATCGAATCCTTAAGATAAAAAGGTCTATTTTATATAGCGCAATTTTTTTTATAATAAAAATATGCATGACAATTAGTAGTTTTATCTTAGTATTTCTAATACTGTTCTAATCGGACAATATAATTGCTTATACAGCTCCGTCGTGCCCCTCTCTCATTCCACGAGAAGCATCGACCGTTCCTGGTGCTTTATACCAAGTATGCTGGTAAACGTCGTCGAGGAAGAACTCTGGAGTGTGGAGCTAACACCAGCGAGTGTTGTCGGGAGCCGCTATATGTTAGTTTTAAGGAACTCGGCTGGGACGACTGGATTATCAGACCCGAGGGCTACCACGCATACTTCTGTAAAGGCAACTGCGCCCCAATATACGCTGTCTCACAGGCGGATAGCTATCATCATAATATAATCAGAGTAAGTTATATCATTGCTTAAATTAAACTAATATTTTTCGCACATACAACACGTGCTTAAGTAAAAAACTACATACTCCCGAAGTTTCGGTTACTTTTCAAAACCGTAATCACTGGCAAGTCTTAGATCTCATTATTATCTGATCGAATTACAATTATTAAGGCTATTATTTTATATAAGTTTACGATATTAATGTGTATATTTTCAACAGAAATACTTCTATTCGGTGAACGATAATCGCAGAGGGGAATTCAAGCCGTGCTGTGCGCCGACTACTTTTAGCTCGTTACAACTACTCTACATGGACTCAAACAACACCGTCACTCAGAAAACTTTACCAAACATGGTCGTAGAATCTTGTGGTTGTATGTGATGGTATAAAAAAATACTAATTAGATAATTTTAACTTAATTATGAATGTTACGCCTTTTGGTTCCTAAGTTATTTAATGATTTGTAATTTTAATTTGATATCGGTGATAAGTACCTACTTAAGAAACATGTGATATTTCTTGCGAGGTTATTGTGTTGTGATGTATTTATATTTAATATTATTTAACATCAGTGCATTTACTTTATTTAACGTACGTTTGTGTTGTTTATTAGTATATTTAGAATAATGTTTTTGGTACATAGTCTGTGATTGTGAGAGATATTCACCAAATATGTTAAAAGTACTTATGAGAACTTTTAAAGTTAAATATTAATAAGATTCAATACTAAACGAGACGTAAACAAAAGTAAGCTATAAATCATTTGTTTAAACGCAGTGCAATTGATAAGCTGTTAATTACAGAGGACTTTGCTCTACGATATGTTTTATCTCTTAAAAATATAAGTGTGCCTTTAAACTCATAATGTTTAAGACATTCATTATTTACGATCTAATGACATATATTCAATCACACCGGCTCCCGGGTCACTGACCGACATCAAACATTTAAAATAAACGACCGATTTAATATTTTTTATGTACAAAAATCTCAAATAATCTCAGGCGTATGTACCAAATTTTTGTATGATAAATTATCATATTATAAGTACTTAGTATAGCGATATCTGGTAATGAATGATTAAGTTATTTACTTACTATAAGAAAGAATACCTCGATGACATGTTTCAAGTAAAAACCTTAGATTTGTGACAAACAAAATGAAAATTAATCAAAGACTATGAACGATTTTTTAATAATAGTTTTCTTAAAAAGTTAATACTGATTCCCAAAAAAGAGGGAGGCGGCCGGTCGTAAAAAAACAATTAGCCAAAACTATTCACAATATGTAAGGCAGACCCTGGTTATAGCTGGGCTATTGCCAGGTAGAAGAAGAAGTTTTCTTAAACACATGTACATAATGTATGAAGTTGATTAATTGTTTTGTACTTTGATATTTTAATTTATATGAGATGTAGATTGTTTGGATTCTCATGTGACAGGGACATTGGGTTTAGTTTCATGTACTTAAAGTTCTCTTCAAACCTGATGTCCTAGTATTATAGATTAAGTCAAATTAATAATAAAACAATTACTTTAATATACCTTAATTTTATTAAACTCTTCGACCAAAAAAATCTTTTTGTTTTTATATAGAAAAAAGTACCAATTACAAACTTGCTGCTCATTTTCTAGAGAACAATTTATAAAATTGAAAACAATCATTAGAGATAAATTTAGCCCATTAATAAATATATGTAGATATCTAAATCTTTTCAACAATGATACGCCAATGTAGCTTCAAGATAATTGGTATCCTATATTTAATTTTGACAAGTATAGTAATATACTAAAAGAAAAAGTATTAATTACAGATAAACTTTTGATTACAACTTTATAGAAACTACTAAAATATGAAAAGTCAAATTGAATATGTTTAAGTTTATATGTATTCAAGAAAGGAATGACAAAAAATACTCATTGAACAAACTTTTGAATAGCTTATTATGACACATTCAAGATGTATTTCAATGGATCTTTTGTTTCTTTACACTTAGGTCTGTGACTTAAGAAAATAATTTTTAACTTTAAACAATATATATATATATATATATATATATATATATATATTTAAGGAGAATACTCGGTACATGATTCTCATTCGAATTATGTAAAAAAAATAGGCACTTAATTTTTGACAAAATTTCCGTATAAATAAATAAAGTGTTGACACGTTCCAAGTGTTCAAGTGTGGACGCGTGCGGCGGCGTGCTGATACAACACCACGTCACGACATGCGTATGTGTGAGTGTCAGTGTATACCTAATCTGTAGGGTGTTCACACGATGCGTAATTAATTACACAACTTTTGGTTAACTTTACTTAGAAGTTTATTAATATTTATGTTATATGAATTTTTATTTTGTCATATATGATCGTCAAATATCACGTCCTCAAATACCGATAGTAATTCACCAGTCACCCTGTATATATATATATATATATATATATATATATATATATATATATATATATGGGTATAATTCTTAAAGGACTAAAAATTTTCTTTCATCCATTGTTACTTTATAACAATAGATAATTTTCAAGTCAAACATTCCCTGCAACGTGTTGCTTTAAAGCCACATTCTGCAAATTATTTTCTATGGATAAATAAAAATTTGAGGCCCTATATAACTATAGTTCTCAGTGGTTTGACTTTTAAATATAAGTGTAGAATTTAAGTGAAGTATTATCAATAACAAATATTTAGGTAGCTTTAAATAAATGTTAAGTACACTATGGAAGCAGATAAATTTTAACCATATTCATTATTTAAAACACAGGAAATAATTTTCTTAATAATGGAAATAGTAAAAATTCACGGAAGCAAAGCTCAGTGGGAAAGATTTTGGCGAATATATAAAGGTATTCCCTCAGGATTTACTGTTGACTTAAAGAGACTTCCAATTTAGTGTTTAACTTAGACGGGTGACGGTACAGTGGACCTCAAACTTGCAACCGTCGTTTGAATTAGTACTAGTACATAAAGAATATGTTAGTTGCCATACGAGGATAGTAGAAGTAAACGAGAAGCTTCCAGACAGATTCATGGATGCCAGCTTTAAAGTTGTTCATCAAATTTTATACGCACATAGTATTGCATATCGGTAATCCGAAGAATATTCCTCTATCTTCCAGCAACCATTAATCAAAATCATCAACCACACCATCACCCTTTAGAAGCTTCAAGCATTTGAATCACTGTCAAAAATCTAAATCAGTTTTAACGTTGGAATACTGTTACTGTGCAATTCATTTGGCCGGTGGAAATAAAAAATGCAGCAACGAGTTATTGAGATATAGACTACAATCTTCAAGTTTTGGCTCGCGATGTACAACGCAAATGTACTCTGAGATTTTTTGATGTGATAGAGCCGCTGAATCTTATTGTTGTTAGTCATCAGATAAACATTCAAAGGAACAAGATTTTTTCTTAAAATGGCACAAGCATTGCGAGCCATAACGTTATTAAAAACAACAACTTCACAACTAAAGGTTACACTTATATCCTATATACATATTATCTCTTTGCTATCCTCATTGTTTTTTCCCAAACCAAAGTGTTCATATGGAATTTGACTACGATCAGCTAAATATGTATCCCACTAAGGTACATTTACATTGAGTGGACGAGACTTCTTTTTTGTTAAAATTTTGTAAATTATTTTAGCCACCGATCTCAATGTCAAACAACATCCTCGAGATCAAAAACAACGCTGTGATTTGAGTAGATTCTTCCAATTCAAATTTGGAAATTTCATGTCTGTAAACCTCACAATTAAAGAACTCACACAGTTGTTGTTTATTTAGCCTTTACAAGAACATGTCCTTTCCGGTGCAATTGATAGAGTAATATTAAGAATTAAGAATAGGTTCTAAAAATGACGTAAAATAGGTTATAAAAATAAATTTTATGTACCCCTCGGAACCAAATTTTAAGTAGGTGGCACTGTATTTTTATATTGCCAGACTAAGATTTTGTTATTGGCCCAAAAGGGCGTTTTAAAATCTATGAGAGCTTAAATCTATCACATTAATATTACACAGTTTGTGAGGATGTAGGAATGCTTGTTTGTCTGTTATGCAAAAACGTGTTAACGGATTTTAATTAAACTTTAGAATTAAAATAGACATCAGAATAAGATATAGGTTTTTTATTTTGCCCCGCGGGATCAAGGAATAACAAATGTATTCATGGGATACACTACACGTGTCTCTGACGGTTTGTTGCTGTCTATTACTCTAACTCACTTTAATATCTCTCTTTGAACCACATTAGAAAGTCACACGAACGTAGTGGCGTGCAAAAACTAGTGACTTAAAACCAAGAAATCTCGAAAACTTTATTAGACGATACTCTTTGTTCACATAACTTAAATATATAAAAAGACAAAATAAAACACACAATTAAAGTACAACACATAATTTATTAGATAAAAGCAACAGATCACAAGACTAAATCATACTCACAGCTGTCGAAATTACACATCACATTAAATATAGCCAAAAAAATCACAAAAAAACCGACAGCGAAGCGTCTTATATATAGATGTAATAAGAAATATAATCAATAATGTATTATTTGAATACAGACAATAATCTGTTAACATCACAGTACATCAAACAACAATGGCACTTGTCTTTTAGACTCAAGGATCAAGTATCACCCGTAAATAAATAAATATTCATTAGCACCGCGTCTATAATACTGCATTTAATATCACTAGCCATATACTTCGTCATTTCTCGCTCGCCTGGAACAAATTTGATAATAAACAACCGTTAAAATCATTTAAAGTAAAATTTTCAAGTATTAGGACGTAAAAAACATCAATTTTTATGAAAATAATGAGAAGTTCTTACAAATTCTACCAAATAAAAAATTGCTCTGAAAGGGATAATACTAAAGAAGCTACTTGACTTTAGGCTCAGTGGTAGTGAGTTCAAATTGCGATTGATGATTTTGAGTTCGATTACCGAAAAAAAAATATATATGACAAAATAGTTGGAAGAAAATCGAAACTCACTGAACCAAAAAGAAATAATAACATTTTTATTAATATTATAATGAAATATATACATTTGAATATTTATTATATATATGTTCAAATATCACACACACACACACAAACTTTTCTAGTTATTTTATAAAATTGTTCACATTTCTTATTAATATATTACTATAAATCTGTGTAACAAAATCATTGTTGAGTTTCTAGTTGTCTTTGGATGAGCGGGGCACCCAGTAATACGGGTTTGCACCTAGTACAGGGGCCCTTGCAACTTGTTTGTTATGTAATCCTTAAGTCAATAAAGTATATTTGTATTATGTTGTTATAATACTCACAACTGTCAGTTTGTCGGTGTCCTTGTCGGAGGGGGGCGCGGGCTCCCGGGGGGGCTGGACAAGGACGGTGGGGGGGCGTGGGACCGGCAGTGACGTCACGGGAGACTGGTGGCTGCTCGGGGTCAATGTACCCGAGTTAACATCCTCTATGGCCTTACGAAGCTGTGAACAGATAACTTAGATTGTAGTATGACACAAAATTAATATTATTATATTTTGTTAGGTTAATTCATACCAGTAAGAAAATGTTCCAAACGAGCAATAAATTTTATATCTCAGTTTTTTATTTATTTATCCTACATTAGATTGACAACTGTAAACTGTGTATGTTTAGTTTCAGAATACAAACTCGTAGTCACGTTACATGTCTTAAATATATTATACTTCCGTATGCAATGTTTCTCTTAATTCGTAACAAATTCAATAATCAAATAAAATTATATATGAATATGCTCGTATCTTTTAAGCCTCCTTAAATTTTATCAGACGCTTCATACTAATCCATATATTTCTTTATATAGTGTCATAAACATTTCTATGGCCACTTAAGATATATGTATGTTTATATATGTATATATATGTTTTTTTTACCTCTTTAAGCGCCACAACGCCGATGAGTCTCCCTATAGCGGTGACGTACGCGCGACTCACGCCCAGAGTGGAGAACAGAGAGTGGACCTTGGACAGAAAAACAGAAAATATTATAAACAGGAAAAATGTAGTATTTTCACTTTTTAATTAAGGTAATAAGAATGAGAGGCGATTTCAAATACAAGATATATAATGACTTAAGTAACTTTTGAGAATGATCTCAATTTCTTTGAAGAAAACAATTGTCATATAAAAATTTATAATTGATTATGCAAACCATTTACTTAGCTTGTGTTCACATGATAGTATTTTGAGATGGACTAAATTTTCCTGCTATTGATCAAAATATAAGAAAAATTCAGCTGTTGGAAGAAAAAATTTAGATGATGATAAATATATGAGATAATCAAATTATGTTGTCACATATAATATATGTGTGTGTGTGTGTGTCTGTGTGTGTGTGTGTGTGTGTGTGTTACCTTCAGTAGCGAGGTCCTCTCAACCAGTTGGAAGGGCGCGGGGTCGATGTGACACACGTACAGCGAGTCGTCTTCGTCCTCATGATCAGACTCCTCAGCCGTCTGGAACACAACACCATAATATATATAGAAATAAGGTTCTATATCGCTTGACACTATTTTATATATTGATATAGATTTTTATTGTGATTGTTAATCTCATATTACAATAAGTTTTGTCTTAATTCAGGTTGTATGATAAAAATACTTATAATTATAAAACCACCTTCACATATAGTATGAGTAAATATATACTTACGTGAAATAAATAATTATTATGGAAATAGATTGAAGTCACGTGACTTTAGCAGATTTTTTTTTGGTTTTAACAGTTAAGTATAATAAAACACATAATAAAGATATGTCATTTAAATAAAATTATCTTTTTCGTATTTCTTTGCATCTTGTTCTTTTATGATTACGGTTAATAAAAGCTAAACCATCAAACATATATATACAAAATATGACAATGTAAGAACCCTAGATTTAGTTAAGCTAAAAAACAAATTATGTACATATCATGGGTGTTAATAAATAAATTATTATTATATTTGTTATATATGTCGGTACTCACCATATCTCTATGTCGAGCGATGGTCAGCATTCTGTCGAAGTCTATTTCCCGGGACATTTCCATCATTTCCCAGGCTCGTTGATCCTCGGGAGACATGTCGCATACACGCTCGCGGGGCTTAACATATACTGCTTATTAGTTAACATACATACATACAACATATAATATAGATATAACAATGTGACACTTGCTAGGAATTTTTTTGTTTATAGTAATCATAATGAATTTTTTTTTTGTAGTAAAATTAGTGGTGTTACTCCTGTTTGTATTAGCTATCTACTCATAAAAATTTCATCAAAATCAGTCAATCCGTTTCAGAGATTAGCCGGAACAAACATACAGATGAAAATCGTCAAATATTGTTTTTTGTATACCTACCAGAATATAAGCCATAACAAGCGTTATAATGGAGTATAATTTTTCATTCATTTGTATAGATTCTAATTTCTCCGGGTCTCCAGTATGTATCAGAAAGAAGGAATCAGATCAAAGGTACAAAAGGTATATAAGGTATAAAAGGTACAAAAAGTACAAAAAGTATAAAAGGTACAAGAAGTATAAAAGATACAAACATCATCCATACCAATTGTACTTTCTTATTAATAGACGGACTCCTTGGCAGGCCGTGGTCTCCCAGTCCTCCTTCAACATCCGGCAGTAGAGTCGACCGCTTGAAGATAGCCTCGAACGCCGCGCGGATCCTGGAAATTAGGGTTGTATGTATAGAAATATAGACCATAATATGAGGAAAAAATATAAATAGAAAAAGGGTACGAAATCTGAGAATAACTACAATATGTGAAACTTGACTTGGTTTCACAATATTTTGTCAACATAAATTAAGCATAAGTCGAGGAGGACTGCATAAAGTTTCAATTTTAATTTCATTGGCAAATAATTAATATAGCTTTTCAATGTATAAACCAATATTCGACTTTTAGAAAATGTATGTACATTGTGCAGCCAAATATTAAACACTAGTGGACCCGGTTTAATTCGACAAATATTTGGCGGAGAAAAGTCGGATTAACAAAAATGTCAGATAGAATACATGAGATCTTATGTTAAGGAATGTTTTAGAAGAGAGTTACTTTTAATCCGACAAGTATAGATATAACATATATCTTCACACACCATAATACGTAGTTCCACGTACAAGTTATAATTAGCTGAATCCTTCAATTACAATATATGATAAATTATAGACCATATCCACTACATAACCACTATAATTTCTGTCTAAATTGGTACTTCCTTTGAAAACTCAAACACTTCCTTTATTAAAGTCGGTTAAACAATTTCCTGCACTTATATTAAGATAAACTATAAGTAAAAGAGTTTTGTATCGTACTAGCTGCGCCCCGCGGTGTTACCCGCGGATTTCCGGATTATAAAGTAGCCTATGTGTTATTCCTGGACGTCAGCTTCCTGTTTAAATTTTTTTATCAAAATCGGTTCAGCCGTTTGAGCGTGAAGAAGTAACAAACATACACACACTCACAAACTTTCGCAATTATAATGTTAGTAGGAAGGAGATAATGTATGATACCTTGTTTCCGCGCCAGTAACTGTGGTGTATACATTAGGTTGCGGGGTCGTTGGGGTCGAAGGTGAACTTAGACCACGAGTTAGAGTGAACGAATTGGTCTTCTTTAAGATAGACTTAGGGCGGAACAGCTGGCCGGGTGCTGGAAATAATAAATTATATATTAAAGTATAAGATATATAACTAAGATATAAATGTATTAGATCAAAATAATTAGAAGTTCAAATATAAGGATGATATTAACAAAAACAATAGCATTATACGACATAATAATCAACATTGTACTGGTCAAAGAAAGCTTCGACATTCACTCAGTGCCGGCGTTAGGGGGGGGGGGGCGATGGGGCGACGCCCCAGGGCACCAAATTTGGGGGCGATTAGTGGAGGTAGGACACTTATAAATGAAAAATAAAAAAATAGGAGCTACATAACTTCCTACGTCCACGTCGTTAGATCTGGGTCACGCTAAAGGAAAGATGGAATAAGGTAGATGGAATATAGAAATCTTAATACACGTTCAGTGTTCACATTGGTTCAGAAAAAAATTAATACTATTTTGATTTCTTCAAGTGGGCGCCAAAATAGTCTTGCCCAGGGTGTCAGTCCCTCTAACGCCAACACTGCATTTACTTAATGAATTGGTCCCACAACAAAGAAACTAGAATAAAATCACTATTAAAACAGTTTTTGCAGGAACAACGCAAATTATATCATAGCTTAGACCTGTATTAGTAGTAAATTCATCTCCTTACGTGGTACAAGCCCAGCCTTGCTAGTATCAGTAAGTGAAGCGGCGGTGACTTCAAAGCGTGAAGGTCGTCTCCTCGCCTCAGCCTCTCGTCTCCATAGAGCCGCGACTTGCAGTCGTCTGGCTCGACCCGCGCGCTGTTCTATCAGACGGACCAGCTCCCAACGATGTATGGAGCCGAGGAGTACGGGGGATGATGGAGAGGATACTAGTGGGAAGCTCTTGATAGACTGCAATGAGATACATAGATATATAGATAGATAGATGGATGGATAGATGGATATATAGATAAAGATAGATAGATTCATGGATAGATGGATATATAGATAATCAATATGAGTAATAAGAAGCTGTTAAGTCAGTGGTAGCCTAGTGGTTAAAAGGCCCGCCTCTTATGCACGAGGGCGCGGGTTCGATCCTGGCCCTGGCAAGTACCAATGTGATTTTTCGCGAGTCATATGTACTTTCTAAGATTATTTAGACATCACTTATTAATGCATTCCCAAAAGAGAGTTGATGTCAGGCAGGCGGCCGATCCTAAAAAGAAATAGCCAAAACTATTCACAACATGTAAGGCAGACCCTGGCTAAAGCTGGAAAATTGTCAGGTAGAAGAAGAAGATAAAGAGATAGATAGAATCATGGATAGATGGATATATAGATAATAAATATGAATAATAATAAGCTGTTATTTTAATATTAAAAGTACAATTAAATTTCATTGATTTGTATAGATTCTAATTTCTTCGGATCTCAAGTATCCTACTAATATTATAATTGCGAAAGTTTGTAAGTGTGTGTATGTTTGTTACTTCTTCACGCTCAAACGGTTGAACCGATTTTAATAAAATTTTGTATACAGGAAGCTGACGTCCAGGAATAACACATAGGCTACTTTACATCCCGGAAATCCCGGAAATCCGCGGGTAACACCGCGGGGCGCAGCTAGTAGGTAATAAATATGAGTAATAATAAACTGTTATATGTATTGATACTGAAAGTATAATTAAATTTCATTCATTTGTATAGATTCTAATTTCTTTGAGTCTCAAGTATTTATCGTAAAGAAGATATAGTGTCGATTAAGATAATAGATGTCGATGTAGATATATAGATAAATAGAAATTAATTAATAAACATGTTGATAATTGCATCAGATAGAACACATGTATCAATAAAGCAGTTTGTCATGAATACCTTATTTTCTTTAAGCAGATCCTTCAACTGCTGGAAGGTCATTCTGTTCCAGATGTACTTCACATCTCTCACCATGAAGTCTTCCACGCATATATCGTACATACCTGAAAAATAGATATTGTGTTTATATCATGTAGGAATATACTACTTTATTACAATAAGCATAAGGACTATAATTTTCTGTACTATTTTTGTGGACAACATTTTCTTTACATACTTCTATATTCTTATTCTTTTGAAGAATGAAGTACGGATTTTCATTTTAATAATTTCCTGATCATCCTTTATAAAATTTTCCTGTATTTAGGGTCAATAACCCTTACTACAAATTGGGTTTTTGAAAAAAAAAAAAGTATTGATTTTTTTTATGTATTTTAAAACTTTATTATTAATTATATTGGATTTTTAATGCAAAAAACTTGAAATATATTTTTTAAATTAATTATAAACAATTAAAAATTGATAAAATTCAAAAATATATCACGTGACTGTAAACGCGCCATGATTGGTCAGCATACTTGTGACGTCATAATGTTAAAGCAATTTCATAATAGTACAGTGTTTATGGCTATTATCTTTAACTTGATAAAAATATCTCAAATTTATTAGTGAAAAACGATTTGAAAAGTTTATTTCGACTATGTGTGATAAAGGATTTATAAAAGCAAAATCGGATAATATTCCTGATGTTGATATATTTATAACAATTTTTTTTAAAAATGACGTCCGGTTTAATTCTGCTGAAGTTCGAGGTGCTAAGACATCAAGGTAAGTCTGTCAAAAAATACTATTCTAAATGAAAATTAGTATTTATTCTCTATTAAATATAATTAATAATTATTTCATTAAATCATTATTAATAAAATGTTATTATAACATTATAAAAAAACCAAAATAACATATATGTACTTTAAAAATTTAAATGTAGTCTGATACAGAACCTAGAATGTTATAAAATTATGAAAATATCTATTAATTGAAGTCCAATTATTAGACAAACATATATATAGATTTACTATTTAATCGCTTTGAATTATCAATTAAAATTTTTTAATGCTACGATTCTAAAGGTTATGATTTGGAGCCCAGGTAAAAAAATTAATTATTGAACTATACTTATTCGATTTATACACTTAGATAAATAATAATTAATAACAATACTATTATGAAAACTTACAACGAAATGATCTTCACAACAAAAAAAAATGATTTTGTTTTTGAATAATCTCGATGCACTGCTTGAAACCATTTCTTTCGACGTTTTTCGTCTTGTGGAACATTTAAAAACATTTTTTCAGGAGTTGTTTTTGTAGTCTTTGTACATAATGGTACAAAACTTTTGATTATTTAACAATGCCAACAGAATTTACTAGATAAAAACTCAAAACACTGTACTAATTATTATATCTCTGTATGCTACAATGAGCAAAAACTAACATTGTGACGTCACACGCGCTCGGGTTTATTCACGAGCTGTCGGCTTGTCTTCGGTACTGAATTTAAAATTTAATTTTTATTTTTAAATAACTTTTTAAATATTGCAAAAAAAATAAAATAAAAATAGTTTTGTTATTAAACTTATATATGATCTTTCCATTTATCACAAAAAAAAAAATAATTCAAAAACCCAATTAAATGTAATAATTTCTTTATGTATTATAACTTAACGATCAATTCCATCAAAAGTGTAATAAAAGTCAGTTAAGCTATTCAAAACTTGCTCATTTAGTAAACATTATTATGTATTATTGTTATTTAAATTGATAAGTTTTACATATATAATAAAACTAAACACAGGCATATTACAAAAACTAAGTTTTTATCTATTATTGTATTTTGTTAATAAATAAAAATATATTTATATAAATCAATGACAATATAAAAAAGTACTAGTTTATCTAAAGACTTCATGGACATAATTATGTCAAAACCTGATTTCACATATAGTTTTACCTAAGAAAAAAACTTCAGAAGCATTTACAACTTTCAAACTATTGTCATTCTCAATAATTTAACTACGGTTGTTAATTATTGTAAAATCCTAATTGTATTTATTTCTTTCCCAAACTCATTTCTCTTATTTACAATAAATATATAATGTATTTATATTTTTATGTTGATAAAAGCTAAACTAACAGCAGATAAGACTGATTGAATCCTATAAAGGGAAATGTTTTTTTGTCACTATAACATACAAGATTATATGCTCTATAAAATATAAAGAAATATATACAAGATTAGCTAATGCCATTAAAAATTTAAATATACTTGTTTAATTCATATAATGGGACATCATTAACACCAGATTGTATTAAATTAATACCCATTATTTTAGTTATTTTTATAAGACATACTGTTCTAGAAAATATGTTATTTGTGTTGGTAAATTTGACAAAATATAATGCTCAACATTTAGCGCGGTTAGAAATAAAAACAAACTGTAGTAATTTATTAAATAAGCGAATTTTATCTTTAAAATTATAATTAAAATCATCTGACAGTGAAAAAATGCTCAACTTAATTAATTATGATTATGTTTTTATCGATAGCAATAAATCAGGATTGTGATTTTTAATTGTTTATTTTTTTTTTGTATTGACGTGTTATTGAATACATTGTTGGAGGACGAGGTGGCCGAGTGGTTAAGGCGTTGGACTGCTAATCCAATGTGCTCTGCACGCGTGGGTTCGAATCCCATCCTCGTCGAAATATTTTTATATTTTAAATTATCAGAATAGTGACGTTATATATGTATATGAAAACTATAATAATAATAAATATATATAGATTTAGGAAATAAACCATTTCAGTAGTTAATCTTTAAGGATGTTTAGTATTGGGCAGAAAAGTATGTAAGTAGATTTTTTTCGCATATTTTTTGTGAAGGAAAAAAATTTCGGCGTCGAGTGAAGTTGATAATTTAAAAGAAAATTTAAGTATATAAAATGTGAATATTGAAACATATGAGCAATTATTATTATATAAATAAATTGAGGAAACCATAAACATTTAACAGTTTTTTCCGGATGTGGTAGTTTTCTATTTGCATATATGTATATATTTTTATTTTATGTGCATATTATAATATTTATTAAATAACAGTGTTCAATAAATATTATAATATAGTCAATGATTCAATAATATTTAAGAATAATTATTATTTAAATTGTGGGACAACGACTTGCATTAGTATTAGCCCCACTGACATCGTATTTACAAAAATTATCTTTTTTCGTTGGCATTATGGGTTACATATGTATACGATTATTTTAATTGTTCTATATTATATTCCTATGTAATAACAAAAATATTTCGACGAGGATGGGATTCGAACCCACGCGTGCAGAGCACATTGGATTAGCAGTCCAACGCCTTAACCACTCGGCCACCTCGTCTTGTTATTAACATATACAATATTTGTTCAGTTGGGTAAGGAATAATGTAGTAATGATTCTATTTAAATATTATGAAAGTAACATTGTGTAATGTCAAAATTTATGATATCTTCATAGGATTAAAGATGCTTTGAGATCTAGTATTGGTCACTTCACACATTTTTTAATATTCATATGAAATATTTTTCAGTTTAAAATAGTAATATTTATAATAGAGAGATAACAAAAATATTTTTTTCAAATAAGAATAAAATATAATATACAGGGTGACTGGTGAATTACTATCGATATTTGAGGACGTGATATTTGACGATCATATATGACAAAATAAAAATTAATATAACATAAATATTAATAAACTTCTAAGTAAAGTTAACCAAAAGTTATGTAATTAATTACGCATTGTGTGAACACCCTACAGATTAGGTATACACACACACTCACACATACGCTCGCGGCGGCGTGTTGTTGTATCAGCACGCCGCCGAACGCGTCCACACTTGGAACATTTGGAACGTGTCCGCACTTTATTTATTTATACGGAAATTTGGTCAAAAATTAAGTACCTATTTTTTTTACATAATTCGAATGAGAATCATGTACCGAGTATGCTCCTTAAATATTGATAGTAATTCACCAGTCACCCTGTATAAAGAATCATCTTTTAAAATATGTTTGAATTATTATCAAAATCTAGAATAATTATGTACTGTTAGCGATAATAATGGATAAACAATTGTACGTTACAGTATCTATAGCTTGATTAAAAGTTGAGTTTAAAAGTATTTTAAATAATAAGATATTAAGAACACATGTTTTAAGAAATAGACTCATATTTTAACTAATTTCACAGATATCATAATATATTCTATCTCAAAATTTCTGATAGGAAGTCCTCATACAAATTTTCATACAGACACTAAGGGTAAAACAATAGTTGTACTTACGACTTGCTGACGAGAGCAAATCAGGTAAGTAAGGCAGCTTCTTGATGAGAATGATGCTGTCGAAGCATGATGGCTGCAGCAGAGCTGCTGTCGCGTTTGCGGACAGCACCGCAGCCATGATAGGCAGCAGGTGAGTCACCTGGGGGGAGGGGGGGTAATGTGACGTCATCAAGTTTAAACAAATATATATATGTTTTCTTATTGTCAATTGAGTATAAGTTTGTTACTTGTGCTTTTTACTGGGTAATATGTAATATACTTAATTTATTATAATGTTTCAGAAGTTATTGTAATGTGTTAGTATTTGTTCTTTCACATTAGGAAGCGAATGTAAGATTGTTTTTGTGCTTAATGTAGTGTTCTTCATCGAATTTTGTGGTATGTTTCTGATATGGTACTAAAATTTTTGAAGCTATCATTTCACTTAATTTATTTTCTAGATGTAATTTTGTGTTGCTGATAACAATTTACATAAATATAGATATTAAAATACTCACTTGTCCTGTCATTTCAATACATATAACGATCGTAGAGACGGTGTGAGTGACGGCTCCAGTGAATGCAGCGGCTCCTACTGTCGCGTATCCACCTACAAACACAAATAATTAGATAGATATATAAAATGAAAGATTAAAAAGGTTGATAAATTAATAACATTTTACTAGGCGACTTTCAACAAGGTTGCGTTAAACATTCTTGGGGGGGGGGGAAGAGGATAAAAAGGGACAGAGCGAGAGGGAATGCATGGCACTCGAATATATGTGGGCGATCAATCGTGACTTGTAAGTAATATCAAGTAATGGTAATAAAGTTTTTCTTAAACAAACACTAAAATGTTCTTAAATATCAATTTGTAGTTGTTACCCCTTCCTGTTTTCATTTCAATATTATGAAATTTCACTTCTTCCGCGAGGAGGGAGTCCACGCATAATATTTTTTTATTTAATTCGTTCATTAGTAGAAGAGAAATGTTATAGAAGATAAGAATAGTAGGTTCCTTCCAAATTTGGTTAGGTAGAGAGGAGCTTGGACAGTGGAGGTGAACGTATAACGCGCGTTAGATAGGGGTCTCTTAAACATACACCTGGGTCACAAGTCCCAGGCACTGTTGAAGCTCCTCTCACTACAACGATGGACCCGACACCCGCATATGAATACATTGAATGATGAGAGGTTTCGTCTCGTATTTGCGTTTAGTGACATTACATACACTAACGTACTGTATGTATGTTTGTGTGTCAGTGTAGGTCGTGTATGTGATAAAATCAGAAATAGTATAATTCTACTAAAGTAGTAGTATTTCCTACCAGGTAGTATCTTCTGTATGTGTCCACCGTAAGCGACGCCGAGGGGGCAGAAGTAGTGCATCACTTCCCCAGTGAACCGACCTAGGGCGGCGCCCATCTTGAACGCTGGCACGAATATACCAGCAGGAACCGGAAGTGTGCAGGAAACCATGCTGAGAAAGAACTGGAATAAGAGTAAGAATAGAATATAAGACATGATTAGATTCCTAGTATTTGGGCAATAATTATGCAGGGTGCGTTTAAGGTGTGTTTTTCAGGAAAATGAACTTACTGTATGTATATCATAATAAGAATTACATACAGGCAGGCAGGCAGAGGCAGACCCTGGCTGAAGTGGGAAGTTGCCAGGAAGAAGAAGAATAATAAGAATTACATATTAAACCTTATAACATATACCTAAGACTACATGGTTGTCCCGATGTTAGGATAGCGAGACGAAACTACTAAGCATTCCATGGATTCACCGTGCGGGTGCCGGGTCCATCGCGTTGCAGGGAGAGGAGCTTCAACAGTGCCTGGGACTTGCGACCCAAGTGTAGGTTTAAGGGGCCCCTTAACTAACGCGCGTTATACGCTCACCTCCACTGTCCAAGCTCCTCTCCCTACCTAACCAAATTTGAAAAGAACCTACTAGGGCTGCCTTCGATATACGTTCCAAGAATGCATTAATGTGAGTTCTGGACAAGCCCAAGTCCTTTAGTAGGTTGTAGAGAGATTTCGCTGTTATACCTCTCGCTCCCACCTCTACCGCGTACAAATCTACTACGAACCTATTTCGAGTGAGTTCGTTTGTGAGCTCGTAATATTTGTTGACCTTGATGGTATGGTCTTTGGGGATGTTGGTTTCCCAAGGGACCGTAAGCTCTATCATCACTACGCGCTTTAAAATTCGCGAAAACAAAAATATATCCGGTCTGGAGGCCGACGCACAAATATCCTCGGGGATTTTATATTGTTTTTCATACGTGTCCATCATTATAGTCCAATCCGACGCCGCTTTAAGGATGGAGTAAGGCTTGACGTTTGATTTTGTAGCCCTAGTGCCTTCTCTCACAAAACCTACTGATCGTTCGTTTGTGGTTATTTCCTTTTGCGCTCTGGCTACCGAAAGACTAACCGCTTCACGTATGACTTCTAGAACCCTATCGTGACGACGCGAGTATTGACCGCTGTCCAGGAGTACCTTACATCCCACCAGCAGATGCTTAGCAGTTCCAACTGCCTTTCCACAGATATAGCAAGTTTTTTCGGTACTTTTACCCCATCTTACTAAATTATGTCATTCTCTTGCTTGTGCCGTATCATCAATATTCTGGTTGAAAAACCAAAATATTGGTTTCTTAGAGTCAGCAACGTCATACGTAATATGATATTTGATTCATACAACGATGTTGACTGGGCGATGTTCGTTTAGTTTTAAATATGTTTCTCATAAACAAATTACCAAAAAGAATATTATTATATAGAAATTTTGAAGTAATAATTATATATTGTATATGTTCGTAACAAGACGAGGTGGCCGAGTGGTTAAGGCGTTGGACTGCTAATCCAATGTGCTCTGCACGCGTGGGTTCGAATCCCATCCTCGTCGAAATATTTTATAATTCATCATATATTTTGCTCTCAAAACTTTTATTTATATATTTTTAAGTGTCACACAAAGGAGGTATACGAGTTAGTTATTGTAAATTTTATGAGAAATGTAATTATAAAATTAAATATCCCAACTTGATCAATACTGCAAGTTCCTTTCATATATCTTATCCTATAAAGGTAATTCTTTGATTTATTTCGCCTATTTTAGAAGCAAATTTTAATCTAACTAAACCGAAAAAGTTACTGCTTCTTTCGCGAGATCCAAAAATTAAAAAACTTAATACTCTTCGTCCATATTTTTGGAAGATACAGAAATTTCACAATGGAACAATTTTTTTTGTTATTATTTTGGATTCTTTAGGTTTTTGACCTATATATCTAGTTTTCTAGTATATATTGTTTCTTGTATAATACTAACAATGCTGAAAAAGTAAATGACGAGTACGGCGAAGTGTCCAACGTCCTCGGTACGCCAATGATCGACTAGCGCCGCCTGCTCCGCTGTCAGCGCGTCGGACCACGTGAAATTGGAAAACAGGGACAAAACCTGGAACATACATATGTATATAAGACATATACAACTGATAATACATTATTATTTACTATGGATATTTGTAAACTTGTTGCCAGAGCATTTCACATTTTGATTTCGGTTCTTATATTTTGTATAATTTTGACTAGTATATGATATAGAATTGTGTAATTTTAAGTGTTATAACTATTACTTTTATTATTTATGTATATACATTATTAAGTGTTGTTAGTGGCAATCCTGGCAAGTACCAACGTGATCTTTTACGTAAAAATTATCATCATTTTCATATATTTTCATATATATACCTGTTCCTGGTTTCCAAGGTCGGCCGCCATATATTTCCCTATCCCGGGAGGAAACAGAACTGACATCACGACCAGGGTCATCACCCCGGGATATATGAAGCGACTGAAACATTAACACAAACAAATTATTCAGGGGTCATTGACCTGGGAGATCTGGAATCTCTACATTTGAATACCAGCTGTTTAAAAATGTTCCTGGTCTTTTAGGACTTACGAGCCATTTAAATGAAACTAATATTTTGCGGATATATACTATGCGTGCTTTATTTTTGTAACACTATATACTCACGACGTTTCGGCTACTTTTCGGCAACGGTTGATGATAAGTAGTAGTATATCCGAAAAATATATAATAAAACGCGATATCGCGAAAGTCTTAGATCTCACTTAAAACCAAGTTTCACCAAACAATGTTAAATGAATGTCTTGTTAAGGCGTTTGATGCTCTGTTAGATGTATCGAGCGTCCCACCACGCATAAATGTCCGTTTAAGACCCAGTTTCACCAATCAATGTTTGTTTAGACTAATCACAGCATTTACTAACCAACCTTCAAATTATAAATGTCCATTAAAATATTTACGTCACACGATGACAAATTAACAACGCATTATTAAACGTCATGTCAAATGACCGACTACGAAATTATTCGTTCTTGTTATAAGACGACGAAGTGGAAACTATAGCATTTAACACGGCACGTTTGTAACCATGCACCACTTTATACTTTGATCGTATATATTCCTCGATACGTCACTTGTAAGCTAATGCGACCAAATTTTATGTATCGTTGGTTGCATACATTTAGCACACAGAAAGCTTTCTTTTCAATTCACTAGTTGTTACTTGTCAAAGTCGTGTTGTCAATAAATTGTGTTATATATTATTTTGTTATAAATATAGACATAAATTGTGTTCAAATTATAAGAAATAAAAAGAAAACTTAATTTGCAATGTCATAGAAAAGCTGGAGGCAAAATCATCATACTAAATGAAATTTTAATTCACTTTATTAATAATAACAAGGTAATAGTGGAAACTGACAAAACAGATGACGTTACTATGGTTACAAGAAATCAGGGCTGTGATTGGCCGATTTAGTTTTGACAATGCCATTAACATTCTGTTAGACATTAGACGGAGCTCCAGAGCAGGAATTAATATTTGTGGCTGGTTAAGACATTTAAACGGACATTCGTGCGTGGTGGGACGCTCGATGCATCTAACAGAGCATCAAACGCATTAACACGATGTTACTTATTTAACATTGATTGGTGAAACTGGGTCTTAATGTCTTAATAAGCCAAAACAACTAATATTAATTTTTGCTCTAGAGGTAGAATTAATCTAATGTATTGTAAAAACTTAAATATGAATCCTGTTTTTTTATAGCCGTACTAACAAATACTTTATTTTTTCTCTTTTAACACACTTTAGCTTTTTTATTATATTTGACATCGGAGTTAGGTTCATAGTAAATTAAAAGTAGAAAATTTGTGTAAAATATTATTTGGCTAATGCTTTTAGGACAGTTCTGTATAATATATCAATAAAAAAATTATCAGATTATTGTTATTTACATCAATGTTACATAAACAAAACAAAAAAAAATTATCACTCGTTTTTTCTATATAATATTGCATATTTAAATATACGGAAGATTTAATAATCCATATACTTAAAGTGTAGTGAGACAATATATTAGTTATACTTACTTCTTCTGTAAGAAGTTACTCAGGACTTTAGTGTTTCTCATGAAGAGCACGTACTGGCGATGAAGGAATACCCACAAGGCCGCCATGAGGCCACACACGATACTGGAAGTAAGTTAAACGAACTGGTGAATCGTAGGTAAAGAGATTTACACACACACACATACACACACATAAACACACACACACTCACACATATGTATGTAGTCTCCTCTTCCTTTATACGTAGTGCATTCCTTAACTATACTTTTTAATATAATTTCCAAGAGAAGAGATTTCACTTGCTATGACCCAATAATAAAATTTTAGTCATGAAATATTAATTTTGTGCTATTAAGAAATCTTATTAGTGATTTCATTATCACTTAATTTATTAGAGTACTAGCTGCGCCCCGCGGTGTTACCGGGATTTCCAAGATTTCCGGGATGTAAAGTAGCCTATGTGTTATTCCTGGACAAAATTTTATCAAAATCGGTTCAGCCGTTTGAGAATGAAGAAGTAAGTAGGATTAGCAATGAAATATTATTTACCCAAGTAGTACGAATACGGCGAATTCTTGAGGATCAAAGGGGAAGTCTTGAGGGAGACTCGTGGGGAAGAGAGGCTTCACTGTGGGTAGAGCGCCGGACCAGACTGATAGTAAACGGAACATCTGGAATAAAATATTACTAATATTATATACATAGGTATATATACATCATCATCATCATCAGCCTATCAGAGCCCACTGCTGAGAGCAAAGGCCTCTTCTCACATGGAGAAGGTTTGAGCATTAATCACCACGCTTGCTCAAGACGGGTTGGTGATTACAAACTTATAATTGTGAAACTATAAGTCCAGGTTTCCTCACGATGTTTTTCTTCACCGTCAGTCAGTGGTGTTTAATGATCTTAGACAGTACTACTATTTAGTTACTTTTATTTAGTTACTATTGAGGTTAAGATTACATACATACATATGGACTTTTCTCTATACTTTGAAAGTTATTAAGTTGGAATTTTTTTAATACGATGATAATTCATTAAGTTAGGAGCCAGATGTCATTTGTATCTGATATGCTGGATCACCTGTGATTGTACCACTTGTTAGAAAATTAACAAGTAGCTAAATAAAGCAGAGTTTATTTCTATAACGTAAGTGCTGGAAATTATAATAGCTCTTTCTATCTAAATCTATTTCGTCGCTGAATTAATAACACCTGGAACTTTACTTACAGGTGTTCACTGGCAAATAGCTTTTTACTATTAAGTGCAGCATGGTTTTTCACAATGTAATGACTTATGCAATAATATACATTTTAGTGCATTATTAATTATGTATTATTCAATATAATTTTATTGTACAGGTGTTAAAATAGTTCTCACGTACAATAGCACTGCAGCAGGCCGCGAAGAATCCACGCCAGTAGTTCCTGACCGCGAAATAAGTCGTGGTTACTTCGATGGAAAATAATACACCTGGAAAAATACAGAATAAAACATCTTAGTTCCAGGTCTTGAGACTAAAGGCTGAAGAAGTTTGCCAGGTTTAAAAGGTTTTTCATTTATATTTTGTGTTTTGCCACATTTAAAAGAAACTAGGAAAAAAGTTAAGGCGTCTTATAATTTGATGTATAAACTGATGTTTTACTCTCTAGAATATTGAAATGGAATGTAGAAGAATTAAGTATATTTTTTCTTTATTTCTATGTTTACTGTTGTGCATTGGTAATATAAGAACATTCTTTACTAATACAAGATTCTAAACTGCTTAAAAAGCTTATACTTAAAAGAATAATTAAATAAAAAGTAATGCCTACTGTAAAAAAAAGAAACATTTTTAAGAAAATTCTCGGATTCAAAACCCTTTTGATATATACAGATTTTTCTATAAATTTTAAGATTGTTAGGAATATGACGGCAGCAATAAAAATAAAGTATAAAAAGAAATTTTTTACTATCAAGTGGTCCTAGTGTCAATATTATTTATACAGGGTGACTGGTGAATTACTATCAATATTTAAGGAGCATACTCGGTACATGATTCTCATTCGAATTATGTAAAAAAAATAGGTACTTAATTTTTGACTAAATTTCCGTATAAATAAATAAAGTATGTACACGTTCCAAGTGTTCCAAGTGTGGACGCGTGCGGCGGCGTGCTGATACAACAACACGCCTCCGCGCGCGTATGTGTGAGTGTGTTGTATACCTAATCTGTAGGGTGTTCATACGATGCGTAATTAATTACATAACTTTTGGTTAACTTTACTTAGAAGTTTATTAATATTTTAGTTATATTAATTTTTATTTTGTCATATATGATCGTCAAATATCACGTCCTCAAATATCGATAGTAATTCACCAGTCACCCTGTATAGGCAATACAGTCAACGTGACTGACTTTTCTTTATTTTAATCATTGTCATTGTAGTAAGATTAGTTTGTCTGTGTGGGTGAGTGTGTGCACAACTGTGTATGTGTGTGTATGTGTGTGATCAAATCCTGTGAACTAACCTCCCACAGGAGCAGCAAAACAAGAAGCAACTCCAACAGCACAAGCAGCAGCTAACATCTCGCTAGTCCGAGATTCGTTACTATATATCCCTTGGAAGGTGGTCACCAGTTTAGACAGCAACGTAGCCACCATAGACGCTATATGTACCGACGGGCCCTGGAATGATGGCCAGAATAAGATATAAAATATACAAGAATAAGATGAGAATATTATTAAGTAAAGTAAATCATGAGATTTTGCTTAATTTGGACCATATGGTCAATGGGCTTAACGAAACTAAACATGCTTTATTTGTTTCTTAAGCTTTAACTGAATCGTATAACTTTTTCGGTACAGAAACGTAAACAAGAAAAAATAATATTTAGTCACTTAAAAAAATATATAGTTTTTCAAGTTTTAAATACATATATTTTATTCGATTTTTTTATTTCGATGGCGGTTGCTGAAAAGTATCCTATACGTTGGGAGTAAGTAGTTTTTATCCAAAAAAAGTCCCGTATATAGTACATATATCCGAAAAATACTAGTTCCATTTAAATTAATATATTTTTTATGACGATAGAATTAGGAACTTTCTAAAAGAAATCGTTATTAGTTGTGCAAACATAACAATAAAGTAATAAGTTTTAACTAGGGGTAACCTACCTCTTTACCAAGTGGTAAACCAGATCCAAGAGTTGCTGTCAGACCGATAACTTTAGAGACCATAGCTCTGAACGTTAAGTATTCCTTGAGGTGAACTCCTCGAAGAATCGTCTTCATCTCTGGTATGCCAGAACCTGAATTTTGAATAACCACATATCAAATACCAATTACTTTTTTTATCTTCTAATATAAAAACAGCTGAACATAATTATATTGAGAAATTTCACACCAAAGGACCATCCTACTAATATTATAATTGCGAAAGTTTGTGTGTGTGTGTGTGTGTGTATGTTTGTAACTTCTTCACGCTCAAACGGCTGAACCGATTTTGATGAAATTTTGTGTACAGGAAGCTGACGTCCAGGAATAGCACATAGGCTACTTTACATCCCGGAAATCCGCGGGTAACACCGCGGGGCGCAGCTAGTAATTATCTAAAATTATACTCTCCCTAGTTTTACTTACCAATACTCTGAGCGGCAACAATATGAACGAAGCCAGCGGCGAAGAGGATTAAACAAACAGGCAAAGAGACCCACGCTATGTACTGACTGAAGGTAGACGTGGCCAGGTCCTTGTACATCCACATGCGAGCTGAAAATAGCTCCTAGACTATATACAGTGAAACATTGACTTAGACTATATGAACATTATAGACTAGACTATATGAAAAATAGAAAGTTATATCCTTAGTAGGTAAATCTTTTTTGGTGTTTTGTCGAGTTTACCTGTTTATCCTAAGTTGCATGAAACAAAAATAAATGCTCTGAATATTATATCATATACATATTATGTAGAAAGAGGTGGTAGTAAAAGGCAAAGATTTTATTGCATTATTCGATAAGTATCTATTTAGAACATGATTATCCTACTTCCTACTAATATTATAATTGCGAAAGTTTGTGAATGTGTGTATATATTTGTTACTTCTTCACGCTCAAACGGCTGAAACGATTTTGACAAAATTTTGTATACAGGAAGCTGACGTCCAGGAATAACACATAGGCTAGTTAACATCCCGGAAATCTCGGAAATCCGCGGATAACACCGCGGGGCGCAGCTAGTATGTTTATATTTTTCTTAGTATATGGCTGGAACCTCCACTATATATAGTTGTAATTATAATGAGATCTAAGAGTTGTAATTGATACAGTTATTAATTGTCTATATTGTACTTACCATTATTGCATACAGCAATGCCTTTGTCCATTGCAAAATTTAGCACAGCCATTATGATGCCCAGTAGAGCCAGGAAGACCCAGTCCTCGCCCAGACGAGCGAATGTATTCCGCCAGACGTAGCCTGTGGCGCTTCGTATAGTTTATACATTTACATTGTTTTTAACCGACTACGGAATGTTCTGTATTCGATCATAGTATTCGAGATTCAATGAAAAAATATATACGTTTATTACTATGGAGTGCAAGTCTTTAAATATTTTTTTTTTGATAACTTTACGCTTTAATTTGGTGAAAGATTTTTATTGCATATAGCCTCTCTATAACAGCTATATAACTCTTTGCCTCTAAGTGTTGTCAATTCAAAATCTCTAAATATATTTAAAAAACGATTAAGAACCCATATGTTAGATGATTACACTGATCTTGTTTAATATCACTTCTGTTTATTATTTGTAATATCCTAATTGTAGTTATAATTTTTAAAATTATCTTTGTAAGCGAACTTTGTACTTTTTGGAAAATAAATTTCTTTACACCTAATCCACATTATTTTTAGAGGAATTTATTATCCCCTATAATATTTATATGGCCAAAATTTTATTTTCATCTGGAAGTTATTGAAATGGAGCTTACCTAATACTTTAAAGAACCTTCCTCTGGGTCGATGTTTTCCTGACGCTTCCAATTCTTTTTGTCGTAGTTTATCATCTTTTCGTCTTTTCTTCCTCAGTCTTCTTAGTCTTCTTGCTTCTTCTCTGGCCGCTTCGCTTAAATCGCGTTGATAGCGACCATACATCTAAACAATACATTTTCCGCATTAATTTTGGCTTTAATAGTTTTTTAAATTATCTCTAATAATGTATCGTTTACGATGACTATTATGTAAAAAATAATTTAATGTGCAAGTTAACTAGTAGCGAATTCAAAGGTCTCTTAAAACATTTTATACAAATCACAAATTAAATTATAATTTTCTTTATAAATATCATCAAAAAATCACCAAAACACGGCTTCCCCTTTCAATGATTTCGTTTGTATCCATTTTCAATAATCATATAATTAAGTGCATTTTTGGATTTTCCAAAATGTATTCCTCATACATTGGATGGAGAAATTTAACTGCGATTAATCTTAACACTAGCCTTGAATCCAGGTTCTGTTTACACGAGATATGAAGCCGATAATCTAGTTTGTTCAACATAAATGATTGCCTACCTAAATTAACTCGGCAATTATTTGTTTGACAGACAAATTTGATAATGGATTTGTATGTTTTTTTTTTGGGTATTATTCAGAAACTTTTAATCCTATTTAGGGGTCATATTATTTAAACATTATTAGCAGATAGAAATACAATATATTTTGTATCGTTTAAAAAATTAATATGATTTCGGCAATTTACTTAACCTTAAGCATAGTTTTTAACAGGCATATGAAATGTTGAATTATTATTGATTATATATGTTTTCCAACAAATGCTTATACAAAATGTAAATTTAAATTTCAAGAAATTAGTGTCGTGACATATCGCAAAGACTTCTAAGGAAAATGATGATATTGTTGTTAATAATAATACTGTCATTAGAAGCTATAGGTACGTTTTATTTAAGATCAGTTCGTTTGCTTAGCACAAGTTTGAATCGGCACTACATACGTAGCGGTTCCCGTTTCTCATTCAATAACCTACGTTATATGTATAAGAAGATTTATGAATAAAAACTGTTAACGTACAGTATGTAGTGTGACGATTCTAACTCGAGGTAAGGAGAAGCAGAGAATTTTAATTGCAATATTTTGCTTATACTAGTTGTTATTATTACTTTTTGGTGTTTCGCGTTTATGTGCCCTTTTAATATTTAAAATAATATCATTTATAATATATTATTAAATATATTACAAATAAATTTAGTTGAAATTTTAGCTGTATTTTTATTAATGATGGTGGAACATTTTGTTAGTATGTAATTATAAATTGACTATGATAAGTCGTCATAAAATTTAAAGAATTTTTTTAGATTGTATTTTTGTATGGATTCCATATATCATAAAAAAATAGATTATTAATATTATTATCTTTTTACAATAAATGAATTGTTTTTAAATATGTCTTTGTTATTTAAGCTATTAAGACGGATGTATTAATATAATGACATTGAACAGGAAAATCATTTAAAATTACGTCTACTGAATTTTACTTGGAAATATTATAATTAGTACACTTTTCCTGTTATCAGATTGCAGGACACGTTTTTCATTCTATTCAAATATATTTAAAAGAATTTTCCCATTGTACTGTCAGTATGTGTATTTCATTGAAATTAATTTTCTCTTTAATAATAAATCTTCGTTTTAAATAACCAATAAGTTATACGTGTGATGACAAGACAACATATTATGATATAAATTATAAATATTTTTTAAAGTAATTACATTTTATTACAATATATACTTCGCGAATGATAAATAATGAAATAATTGTATATATTTTAATGAGATAATGTGTTTCGTATTAGGTGACGATCATAACGTAAGTGGCTATTGGTTGCTAATATTAAACATACATGTATATGTATGTATATATTAATATTTTCAACACAAATAGAATCGAAAAAACTTATATAATACTTATATATAATATATATTTAGTTAGGGAGGGGAGCTTGGAGGGTGGTGGTGAGATAGATAGGGGTCCCTTAAACCTACACCTGGGTCGCAAGTCCCTGGCGCTGTTGAAGCTCCTCTCACTACAACGATGGACTCGACAATCGCACAGTGAATACATTGAATTATGAGAGGTTTCGTCTCCTTTTTGAATAAAATACTTTTGAATTCTATCACTCGATATTAAAATTCGCTTTGTGTACAACCTCACATTCATCAATCGACCTTCTCTCCTTAATTTTGGACAGATCAAATTTATCCTTATCAATGTATAATATGTATATATTGTAATGTTTTATTCATTGTTAGCTATAGAAGGTAAATTATTATGTCTCATTGTTCAGACCGTGACGGAGATCGCGTTATGAATTAAAAACAAACGATTTGTATGATAGAATATTATCATGAAAATAATTAAATTACTTTCGGAATTATTTTGGCAGTTGTATTTTGTGGTATCAAGGATCAGGAATTGAAGACGGTAGTGGTATTATCGAACAAGGTTTCTTCAAGGTATGAATATATTGCAATCAATGTCTTGGTGAAAAAACCTTGTATTAAATAGTCTTATCTAAAAGAATAAGACAATTTTCTTTTGGAAATTGCGATGGTTTATGCTCTATCGCAATTTGAATAATCATCATCATCAGCCTATCGGAACTCACAGCTGAGCAAAGGCCTCTTCTCACATGGAGAAGGTAAGAACAATAATTACCACGCTCGCTCAATTTCGCGGATTGGCGATTTCAAAATTTTATTTAGAAATTATAAGTCCAGGTATTTAAACGATGTTTTTCTTCAACGTTATTTTGGATAGCATATATTTTAACTTACAAATGTATATATGGGTGATGTAAATTTTCACTGATTGTTTTTAAATTTTTCACATACAAATTCGATGAGAAAAAATAGTAGGTTCATTAATGTAACTGCTTTGTAGTAATGCCTCTTCTATCAACATTTACACGATAAAGTCCAGCCTGGTTTATAGCGACGTTATCTCAAAGAAACCTTCTGAATTAATCCTTTATTTGCGTAAGTATTTAAAGCCGTTCTATTAGTCTTATACAATCAATGCAAATAAATCCTTACTTATATTATAAATGCGAAAGTAACTCTGTCTGTCTGTCTGTTACGCTTTCACGCCAAAACCACTGAACTGGTTTTAATGAAATTTGGTACAGAGATAGAGTTGACCTTGAGAAAGAATATAGGATAGTTTTTAACCCAGATTTTTGAAAAGTTCTCTAGGAAACGCGATATAACCGAACTCCACGCGGGCGAATCTGCGGGCGGAAAGCTAGTTCCTCTATAAAAACAAAGATAGGCACTTAGTATTTAATGTGCGACAATTTTTTTTAATCCACACACAAATTAGGAGGATTTGAAAAACAATATAATGTTACAACAAAAATATTTTTTATTCACAAAAATAACACTTTATTTACTGATATTTAAATAACTTTACGAAAAGTTTTTCTGTTCTAGATTTTGATATTCTCAATTGATATGTAGGTCTGTTTGTTCATTCATATCATTTTACATACTAATTAATTAATAGTATGGGAGTATGAAATCAAATAACCAAATGGGTCTGGATATAACCGCATATAACACAATTTGAATTAGAACTAAATTAACTATAGTATGACGTAAGCAATTTTACGTTTTAAACCCAAGGCTACAGAGTTGATAATTGTGAATTAGTTGATTGTATTGAATGTAACAACAGAAGATATGTATGTCACGCTTTTGCATTTCAGTATAATAGACCAACTCAAACAACGGAGACTTTAATACGAGTTTGAATTTACTTTATTACTATATGTTTTCACGTGTTTTTAAGTTGTTGTAACGAGAAAACGTTAAAACTGTTGGTATAGATAACGCAAGTATAACTAATGGTACATAAATTTCTTAGTTATAAATGAAGACTATATAAAAGTAACTATTTTATATACACTTGTGACTACTTACATAGTTTATAAAAATAAAGTAGTATCTCATATATGTATATTATACGCTATTAATACTACATAAAATCATGGATGAAGTGTTAAGACATAAAATCAGTTTAATTGAGGTGTCATTTCTTATGTTAAAAGACTTTTTAATTATCATCATCAGCCTATCAGAGCCCACTGCTCAGAAAAGTCCTCTTCTCACATGGAGAAGATTTGAGCATTTATCACCACGCTCTCAAGACGGGTTGGTGATTTCAAACTTATAATTGTGAAAAAATAAGTCCAGGTTTCCTCACGACGTTTTCCTTCATCTGTCAGTGGTGTCTAAATACTCTTAGAAAGTGAATATAACTCGGAAAAATCACATTGGTACTTGCCAGGTTTCGAACCCGCGCCCTCATGCATGAGAGGTGGGCCTTTAGCCACTAAACCATCACGGCCACAATAAAATAAAACAGAGTTAACTTCTGATGTACACTACTGTGTCAAAAGTAAATAGACAGGGTAGTTTTCAAAAAAATATTTATTACAAAAAAACTTTTTACTTAATTAAAAAACTAATAGATGATAATTAATACTGTGTCGATCCTCCTTTTTTTTCAGATAAGGTTTTTATCCTAGCTGTCATAGTATCTATCAAACCATCGATCTGATCTTCCCTTAAATTACTCCATTCCTCAATCAACATCGCCTCTAATTCTTTTTTATTCGAGGGCTTCTGAGGTCTTTTCGCAATATTCATTTGCAAAATGTGCCAGACATTCTCAATAGGGTTCATATCGGGCGACTGACCTGGCCACGGGAGAATATTAAGCCTTTTTTGGGATTTCCAGGCAGTTGTTTTTTTAGCTCTATGGGATGGTGCCCCATCTTCCATGAAAAAGTAATCTTCGTGTTTCAAATTTCTTTCATCAAAGATCGGTAGGAGTCCCTCTTTTAAAATGTCAATATATTTTTCAGCATTTATTGTCCCTTCACAGAACACCAAACGACTTCTACCGCCGTACCAAATAGCCCCCCAAACCATAACACTCACACCGCCGTATTTCACAGTTTGCTGTAAATATCGGTCTTCCAATTGCATTACAGAGCGACGCCACACCCATTTTCGTCCACTGTCACTGAATTGGCAATATCTGGATTCATCCGAAAAAATCACGTGCCTCCAAAA